GTGTGTGTGTGTGTGTGTGTGTGTGTGTGTGTGTGTGTGTGGAATGTGTTGCATTTGTATGGATTTGTATTTGTTTGCTATTCAAACATTTAAATGACTAGCACATTACTCAATATTGCTTTTATTTAACACACAGGCATACTCTTCTAGAAACATGCTGTAAAATATACATATTTTACATATCACGTATATTGCATTTGTAGTGTACGTATTATAACTTCCTGAGTACTATATGTTCCAATTGTGATTTAAAGGATCCTACAGACTTTTCGTTTGTTTGTTTTCTAATGTTACATTACAGGACATGTAAAACAAGGAACTATTTTCCCATGTATGATCAAATTTTGCATTTTAGATATTTATTTAGATATTTGCAATCACTTCTTTTAAATTACATTTCCATTCATGGTGAAAATGGGCATTCTTTATTCATTCAACTTAAAAAGACAAAACATAGCGAAAAGAGATGTAATAGGAGGATTTAAGGTCCCATTATGATTACAAAGAAAGTTTAAAAAAAACTGTTTAAGTAATTTATATGTTTAGCTTCATCAGTACCAGAATCTAACTCTTTGTTCTTCGCTGCTTAGTGTTTTTCGTTTTTTTGTTTTTATTAATAATCAACGAGTGTTGCACTGTGTTCTTTCATGCCTATTGCGTTTTTCTAAATAAACTGTTAAAAACTATTAATTTCATACTATGAAACTATGATGAAAATAATGGGCACTGATTGGTCATGTAACAAAGGCACTGAAATATAAAATGAAAAGCTTGCAGAGCAGCTACTGAGATAGCGCCATTCTTGATACAGCTATGTTTTTATCCTTTGCATTATGATTAACAGAGCATAGCAATGTATCATAGTATTCACACTAACGGCTATATATTTAGTAAGGCACAGTGTATAGCAAAGCAGAGTAACAATATGAAGCATGTAGTTTCTTTTTTGGTTCCAGCAGAAAATACACAGAACACTTTTACTTGTACATGCTGTATACATCATGAAATTCCCACTTTGTTTAACTAAATAAAACAGGCATTAACTTCTGTTTAGTACCCCTAACTAAGTTATTGGTGAAACACAATAATGGCTAGCAGTGTTATGCCTCTTTCACTTTGTCTTCATAGGTGCCGCTGCCCTTGTAAGCTGCCACATAACCACTGGTGTCTGGGATGTCCTCACGCCCTGCCTTTCCTTTGCCTTTTCCTGTGTCATCAAACCGCTCCTTGTGTGAACCAGTGTACTTGGAGGTGTCAGTCAGTCTGTCCACTGCTGCTGCCTTGGTAGCTTTCTAAAAAAATGGAAGACAGAACACTGATATAGTAAACTTTTTTTTTTATTTTTTCCCCTTTTAACCCAGTAAAACAAAAACTCTGTATTGTAGTGTCTCTTTAAAGATGCAATGTGTTGTATCTAGAGTTTCTTTGGTAATCCAGTCATATATCCAAAATAACACACTGACAGTCAACTATTCTTTCTGATTTGTGACCTAAACAGTTGCACAAAGATTTGGTCATCAAAAACAAGTAGCACTTTCTATTCCAGCTCAGTAATAAAGTGGTAACAGTGGGGTGACAAGGTGGAAACAAGAACATAATAATGTGGTCATTTCTACATTATTACTACTCAATTACCAAGGTAATAACCAATTACTATCCTTGTAATATCATGGTAGCATCACTATCACCTTGTAACCGAGGTGTATTTCCACAATCTTGCCCCTAGTTTTTGGGCACTTATTATCCAATTACATAAATTTCAGTGTAATACATGTAACCACTGCTGCTATCATGATATTACTTGGAATTTAAGTGGTTATTACTATGATGATTGAGTTGTAATAAGGTAGAAATTACCATATTATTACAGTCTTGTTTCCACCTTGCTACCCTACTGTTACCACTGTATTACCAAGCTGTAATAGGAAGTGCAACACAAGAGAACAAAACATGTTAATACATTAATCTCACTTAAACAAATTTTACCTAAGATGATCTGTTTTAAGTTTAAATTTAATTGTATGGTTGAGGGTCAAACTACTACTACATATATAAGTTTAAAGGGATGCATAAGTGTAGTAGCTGGTTGCTGCTGACTTCTAAGCAGCGAATTTTGAGTTTATTATAACTTAATACTCACAGTAACACCAATGTTGGCAGGTTCTTTACCAACAACGAGACCATAAAGCTGCTGAAGTGACTCTTCCTTGTTCTTGCCTTTAAAACGTTTGGGAGCCAACTCTGTCAGGGCCTGGTTAAACTGCTCAAATGTGATTACACGAGCTGACTTTGCCCTGAGGAAACACAGAGTGTTGCCAACTATATTTTGAGAGAAATAACAAAATGAATAATATAATATACACTGCTCAAAATAATGAACAGAAAACCTTTTAATCAGTTTATGGCATCAAGTCAATTACATACCGGGATATTAATCTGGTCAGTTAAGCAGCAGAGGTTGTTGTTAATTAGTTTCAGCTGCTCTGGTGTTGATGAAATTAACAACAGGTGCACTAGATGGGTAACAATGACACAACCCACAAAACTGGAATGGCTTTTCAGGTGGACACCTGTGACATTTTTTCTCTCGTCATCTTTTTTTGAGTTTTGTTTCACTAGTTTTCCATTTGACTAAGGTCAGGGTTACTACTGGTAGCATGAGGTGATATCTAGATCCTACAGAGATTCCACAGGTACTCCAACTCCTCCAGGATCACACATTAATACCTGCCTGTCTGACCAAACAATCAGAAATAGTCTTCATGAGATCGAAGAGGAACCATGAGAGGAAACAACATCCTCTAGTGGCCCCTGTGTGCACTGTCTGTCACCTTGGAGCCTAAATGGTATTTCCAGTACAATACCAGGATTGGCAGGTCTATCACTGGCACCCCGTGCACACCTTCCCTTTGTTGGCAAGTATTTGCTCAGAGGTGGTCGTTTGTTGGGGTTTTCTCTGTAGTATTGTAGGATCTCTACTTTACGATATAAAACTTGCCTTAAGGCAACATTCTGTTGTGATTTAGCGTTATATAATTAAAACTGAATTGAATTAACATCACTCAGCATGATTGCTTTAGTGGAGGATCAGTGATTGTCTGATCTACGGATGTGACGCAAAGACCTCGAGCATATAACCCCAGTGTTGGCCTCTTCATGCTGGTGGCTTCCTGTTCCTTACAGGATCCAATTTAAAATTATACTTTTTAATTTAAAATCACTAAACGGCCAAGCTAACTCTTACCTATCTAAGTTCCTATTTATTTATGGTCCAGAACGAACCATGAAGTCCAATTCAAAACTAATGTTATCCAACAGTCTACACATAAATCTCATGGCAACAGAGCCTTCTCTGTGGCATGTCGCAGACTTTGTAATAGTCTGCCTCTAAATATAAGATATCCACAAATAATGGAACATTTTAAATTTTTAAAGACCCATTTTTATTGACTGGCTTTTAGCTCACGTTGACCCATATATATATATATATATATAT